TTCTCTTTTTCTCTTCTCTTCTCTTCTCTTCTCTCTTCTCTTCCCTTCTCTTCTCTCTTCTCTCTTCTCTCTTCTCTCTTCTCTCTTCTCTCTTCCTCTCTTCTCTCTTCCTCTCTTCTCTCTTCTCTCTTCCCTGTTCTCTCTTCTCTCTTCTCTCTTCTCCTTCTCTTCTCTCTTCTCTCTTCTCTCTTCTCCTTCTCCTCTCTCTCTCTCTCTCTCTGTCTCTCTCTCTCTCTCTCTCCCTCTCCCTCTCTCCTCTCCTCCGGAAGCCACGAACGACCACGAAACGACCAGTTTCACACGAATTGAGGTTCGATCATCAAAAACCTGCGGAGGAATTGCGATTTTCACGGGCCACGCGGGACCCTTACGCACAAAATGAAATTCGATCGTCAAAAGCCGAGAAAAAATTGCGATTTTGAGGTCTTGGAGCGGGTTCCCAAGCATAATATAACATTTTGGTCGTGGACATTTGGTGAAAATGTCTTATTGTGCTTCGGAACCTTGGGTCTCGAAGCGGGCTCCCAAGCGTAATAGGACATTTTGACAGTAGGCATGTGAGGAAAATATCTTATTATGCTGCGGAACCCTAGGTCTCAAGCAGAATAGGATGTTTTGATGGTAGGCATGTGATGAAAATGTCTTATTATACTGCGGAACCCTGGGTCTCGAAGCGGGTTCCCAAGCATAATAATTACGACAGTTGCGTGTGTGTGTGTGAAACATCGGAAGAGATGTAAAAACTTCTACCTTGTTGCATTTCGTGTTTCCGGTTTTCATTTTTGTGGTTAGGCACCTTGTTCTCACCTGTTCAATTTTTTAGCAGGGGAGTGGAGCAGGCCTGCAGAGCTCCACTTAACATAGCTCTCTGCAGTGTCCTGAGGATATCACTGGAGACGTCCAGTGACGTACCTGCTCGGTTGTGATCACCTGTTGTTCAGGGTCTGCTTCTGATTTCATTTCTTTTCGCTGCTGTCATGGCTCCCGGCTAAGCCCAGAACCGGCATGTCGTTGTTTCAACAGTTTTCAAACCAAACTTCGTTTTGGAAATCCTTTTGAGGTCACTTCGATGACTGCACGGTTTTCGCAATCTGTCAGGGAAATCCAATTTGCATCTAGCCTGGGTCTGTGGAGGTGGTTTCGTTTTGACTCTTTCTCGAGTCTATTCATCACCTCAATCCTGTCAGGTGTAATGGGAGTGTTTTTGCACGTAAGATGCATTCCACATCAGAATTCGCAAAGATTGTTCTGAGCAAGTGTGTGTCAACGGGTTTCTGTGTAAAAGCGTCTGTGTGTAAAAGCATCTGTCTGTAAAGGAGCCTGTGTGTACAAGCGTCTGTGTGTAAAAGCGTCTGTGTATAAAAGTGTCTCTGTGTCAAAGCGTCTGCGTGTAAAGGGGCCTGTGTGTACAAGCGTCTGTGTGTGAAAGGGATGTAAAAGCACCTGCGTGCAGAAGTGTCTGATATAGAATTCTTGATGTACCTTTTCTTCAATATCCTCTGAAAGCCTTTTTCTTCGCATTTATCCATCTTTTATATGTTGTCTTGTAACATGTTGTCTCGATACTATTTTTCTCGTCTGCCTAAAATACATCTTTACCAGTAGTACCGCACAAGGCGGTGGCGGAAGTTTCAGAAATAGGAAACCTATAGGAGAGGTCGGTTGTTGTGAATCACGGATGACAGAGCGAATCCACTGATGGACCGAAAGGTGGTTGGAGCTGTGCTTTTTGCAGTGGTTGCAATGGTTGCAGTGGTCACCCCACCGCACCTGTTGGATGTAGTGTGCTGTAGTGAAGTTGTACTTGTAGTTGTAGTTGTAAGTTTTAGTTCTAATGTGATGTAATTAGTGTAGTGTAGTTGCAGTTGAAGTTGCAGTTGTAGTTGTGGTGTGGTGTAATTGGTGTAGTATATTGTAGTGTGCTGTAGTGTTGTGTTCTGTAGTGTGGTATAGTGTAGTGTAGCCTAGTGTAGCGTAGTGTAAAGTAGTGTAGTTGTAGTTGTAGTGTATTGTAATCAGCGTAGTGTAGCGTAGGGCAATGTAGCGGTAGTTGTAATTGTAGTTGCAGTTGTAGATGTAGCGCAATGTAATGTAATTAGTGTAGTGTTGTGTTGTGTAATGTAGTGTAGTGTAGTGTTGTAGTTGCATGTATATTTGTAGTTGTAGTGTGCTGCAGTGTAATTAGTGTAGTGCAGCGTAATGTAGTGTAGTTGTCATTGTACTTGTAGATTTGGTGGTGGTGGTGGTAGTGGTAGTAGTAGTAGTAGCAGCCGTAGTCGTAGTCGTAGTCGTAGTCGTACTCGTAGTCGTCGTCGTCGTAGTAGTAGTAGCAGCAGCAGCAGTAGTAGTAGTTGCTGTTGTAGTTGTAGTTGTCTGTCTATCTGCCTAATCAATCAATCAATCAATCAGTCTATCTATCTATCTGTCTATCTGCAAGGTTGAAAACGCAGCAAATCTGCGAGACTTCCTTCAAAAATGGAAAGTTGAGTGCAGAGCTGACGCCCTCGTACCAATGCGTTTTGCGATTTTTGCACTCCGTCTGTCTAAAGTACTGCGCCTGCCACGAGAAAGTGATGCCAGGTCATACGAAGTGCTGCACCTGTCACGCAAAATCATCTTCCCAAAACTGAAGATCTGTCTGATGCTCCAAAATGCAACCCCTCTCAGGAAATCAGCGCCCGGACCGACAAGGGTATCAACATTTTCACGGTTCCTTTTCCAAGAAAACGCCAAGGCATTACAGCAGCTCATGGTTTTCGAACATTTTAGTAATACCGCACAAGACGGTAGCGGAAGTTTCAAAGATTGACGGCTATAGGAGAGGTGCCTTCTTGTGATGCATGTATGCCAGAGCGAATCCGCTGATTGACCGCAAGGTGGTTGAAATTGTGCTTTTTGGAGTGATTGCAGCGGTCGCCTCGACCACAACTGCTGACTGTAGTGTGCTTTGGTGTAGTGTAGTGTAATGTGTTTGTAGTTGTAATGTAATTGTTATTGTAGTTGTAGTTGTAGTGTAGTTGAAGTTGTAGTTGCGGTTGAAGTTGTAGTGTAGTTGAAGTTGTAGATGCAGTTGCAGTTGTAGCTGTAGTCTAGCTGAAGTTGAAGTTGTAGTGGTAGTTGTAGCGTCCGTGTAGTTGTAGTGTCATTAGTGTCGTGTAGTTGTAGTTGTGGTTGTAGTTGTAGCGGAAGCTGTAGTTGCAACTGTCATTGTAGGTGTAGTGTAGTTGAAGTTGTAGTTGTAGTGTCATTAGTGTCGTGTAGTTGTAGTTGTGGTTGTAGTTGTAGCTGTAGTGGAAGTTGTAGTTGCAACTGTCATTGTAGGTGTAGTGTAGTTGAAGTTGTAGTTGTAGTGTAGCTGCGTGCTGTTGTAGATGTAGTTGTAGTGTAGTGTTGTGTAGTTGCAGTGGTAGTTGTAGTGTAGTTGAAGTTGAAGTTGTAGTTATAGCTGCAGTCACAGTTGGAGTTGTAGCTGTCCTGTGGCGGCAGTTGTGGCTGTAGTGTAGGTGTAGTTGTCTATCTATCTGTCTATCTGTTTATCTCTCTGTCTGTCTGTCTGTCTATTTATCTATCTATCTATCCATCTATCTCTCTATCTCTCTTTCTCCGTATCTACCTATTTATCTGTCTATCTGCATGCTTGAAAACGAAGCTATTCTGCGAGACTTCCGCAGTTTTCGAAGTTGACAACATCAAGAACGAAGCCTTTCTGCGAGACTTCTTCGGTTTTTGAGCTGGACAACGTCAAAAACAAAGCAGTTCTTAAAGACTTCCTCAATTCTCAAAGTTGGCAACATCAAAAACAAAGCAATTTGCGAGACTTCCTTCAAAACTGAAAAGCGGAGTGCTGAGCTGACAGCCTCGTGCCAATGCGTTTCTGGCTTTTTCCATCCCAGCTCTCTAAAGTACTGCGCCTGCCACGAGAAAGTGAGCCCAGGTCATACGAAGTGCTGCACCTGTCACGCGAAATCATCTCAGCAAACCTGAAGATCTGATGCTCCAAAATGCAACCCCTCTCAGGAAATCAGCGCCCGGACCTCCTAACAGCTCTGATGAACATGTCTCTTGTATTGGGCCCGCCGCGCAAATGCATATTTGCGGACCCCCTTCAAATGTCCCACGCTGGCCATCGTTTTTGAAATTGCGACAAAGCCCACATGCTTGACCCACTTTTGACGACGTGCAGGATCCATTGCGCCTGCCACGCAAAACGGCATCCTAACCTCAAAAAGTGCCCCGGGACCGCCAGTCTTTAACACTTTTGACTTCGACATGTGCTTCGGACCGCAACAGCGTGCACTTTGTCAAGATCTCAACATCCAAACGTGCTTCGAGAATGCTGTCTTTAGCATTTTGACTTGGACATGTGCTTCGGACCACAACGGCATGTACTTGCGCAACATCTCAATTTCCAAAGCGGCCCGAGACCGCCCGCCAGTTTTTCACACTTGTGACTTGGAAACGTGCTTCGCGCCGCAGCAGCGTGCATCTTTTCGACATCTCAACTTTCAAAGAAGCTCCGGGCATGAGGCTTTTTAAGCATTTTGACTTCGAAAGCTGCTTCGCCCCATAACGGGGTGCAATTTTTCATCTCTCATCTGGCTAGATGGCTCCGCACCCGCCGCTTTAGCGAGCCTACTTTTTGACCTTCCGGAGCCACAAAACATTGGCAAAACACAGGGTTTCGCAACTTTCTTACCTTTTCATGACTCTTCGCACCTCTGCTTTTGCATCTGTCCATATTGTCGGAAGTTTGACTTCTAAACTTCCTTTGATAATTTTCCTTCTTGAAGAGAACCATCATGTATTTGCCACGGCTCAACCGTCACACAGCCTTCTCCAACTGCTGTTTCGCTTTGGCCACCGCCAGCAGCTCTGCGGCCGTGGCGAGGTTTAATCGTTTCACGTGGGACCTTGGGCGGCGGTGACACCAAGGAACTCAAGGAAGAACATGGGGGTTGAAGTGCAAACAAAAAGGTTTGAAGCTGAAAAAATCGAGCGCTGAAACATCAAAATCAAGGGCTTAGAAAGACAAAAAGGGGCTTGAAAAAAGAAACCGAAAAGCCGACTAAACCCGAGAACTGATGGTTTAATTCAAAGAATGGCCAAACAAACTGCGAATAGCCAACGGCAAGAAGATGACATTTCATGGAGCGTTAGCTTTTACATGGCGAACCTTAGGCTTCACAAAAGCAATCTAGTCTTAGTGAGACTTGACATTCGTCCATGAAAACGGCTGCGCAAAGCCCGAAACTCCCATGTTGCCGGGCATCCCGGCCATGCTAAAAAATGCCTCTGGAGTTCTTGGCGCGTTACACCTCGCAGGCCACTGATCATGGTACAAATTGGTTGGCCCAAAGATGGGGTATGTCCCTAAGTCCGGGGGTTGATCATCTTCCCAACTAAATTTGCCGTTTGGGGCATGCAGCCCTATTTTCAAGCTCATCCAAATTAGTGACCACGCGTCGGAAGTTAACATCCGCCGTGGAAAAACGGGGGCTGATTCTTGTGCGGAATGCGGGGTAGGTAGATAATGGTTGGTTGATGGGTGTGGCAAAAGCACGGAGAAAACACGGTGCCTTTCAGGAAACGCTCTTGGGTCTTCTGGTGCAACCTCGGGCCGCCGAGAAAGCACCAAACAAGGCGGCCCCCACATGTGTTTGCACCTGGAGGATCATCCCAGCGAAAGCCGGTTGGACACCATAAAAATCAGTTTTTTTACTTGAAGGGGCTTGTGATTAAGTTGCATTACCATTATCCACTCTAACAATGGGATGATCCCCTCAGCAGCACCTCTCTTTGCAACTGAGCCCTCGGCCTGTGCTTGACTAAGCCTTGGGCATGAACCTTGGTAAAAACTGCCTGAGATCCATGTCTTGAAGGCAACACCCAAGCATTGCGAGAAGGCAATCCCAATGACCATCTGGTTGGTGGAATTTTGTAGCACCCCCCCGCTGCCATGTAGCATCTTTATCGCTTCCAGACTTCACCTGAGGTTCCTGGCTAATTCAGCTAATTCGTCTTCATGTCGTTCATTCACCTGTCGCCAGCGGGGGGCAGGAATGCATTGGAACTTTGGCGCCGCATGTTCTCCGGATCATTTATTGTACAGGTGCTTTGGGAAACATGACGTGCGTAGAGTGGATCAAGGCTTGCCACCTTTTGCTGATATGGCAGCGTGGCTTCCCCGTTCTCAACACAGCGGTAGCCCTATGCCACACCCCAAGTAGCCAACCGTTTGGGAATCATAAACTGTTTGGAGTTCCGCTGGTCGGACATGTTCACCTTTTGGCATACCAACTAAAATCCAAAACGTTGATATGCCATTAACAAGCACATTGTAATTACAGCTTGAGTATTGTATAAGACTGCACTATATAAGAATTTGAGGGGCTCGAATCCAAGGCGGGCTACATATTTTCAGCTATACCAGGCACATAGTACTTTAAGAATTTGAGGGGCCCTGGAATAGGATTGCCAAATTCTTAAATTACTGCTTATACGTGAGGTTTGCAATTCCCCATTGCGGTTCATTTTTTTTGTGGGGTGACCCCTTATGGTCTTATGGGATGAAATTGGGCTTTACAAAAAAAACAAATTTTCAAGCTCCGATTTTTTCCGCGCATGCTTGGACTGCTTCCAAACCACTCAAAATCTATATGTGGATAGACTTGGGAACCTGAAACATTGTTTTCCCCAATAACTTGAAGAAAACTTAGGCTTTGCAGAAAGACAATTTTTCATGCTCCGAAAAATTGTTTTTTCCGCGCGTGCTTGGGCTGCTTTCAATCCGCTCAAAATTTATATGTGGATAGACTTGGGAACCTGAAACATTTTTTCCCCCAAGAACTTGAAGAAAACTTAGGCTTTGCAGAAAAACAATTTTTCAAGCTCCGAACAATTGTTTTTTGGGCACCGCTCTTGTGAAACTCAGACAAGCCCGGCTTTGCCCAAAAAAAAATCAGGCTCTAACAATTTTTTTCGGCACTGCTCGTGTGAAACTCAAGCAAGCCCGGCTTTGCCAAAAAAAATCAGGGTCTCAAACAATGCTTCTTCGGCACATGCTCTTGTGAAAACTCAGACAAGCCCGGCTTTGCAAAAAAAGATAAGGCACTATTTTTTTTTGGCACTGCTCTTGTGAAACTCAGGCAAGCCCGGCTTTGCAAAAAAAATCACGCTCTAAACAATTGTTTTTTCGGCACTGCTCGTGTGAAACTCAGGCAAGTTCGGCTTTGCCAAAAAAAGGCTCTAAAGTATTGTTCTTTTCGGCACTGCTCGTGTGAAACTCAGACAAGCCCGGTTCTGCAAAAAAACAATTTTCAGGCTCTTAAGAAATGTTTTTTCGGCGCTGCTCGTGTGAAAGTCAGGCAAGTTCGGCTTTGCAAAAAAAAGGCTCTAATTTTTTTTTTCGGCACTGCTCTTGTGAAACTCAGACAAGCCCGGTTCTGCAAAAAAAACAATTTTCAGGCGCTTAAGAAATGTTTTTCGTATGTCTCTTGTCAAATCTGCCAACTCCACCTCGTTACCTCGCTTTAGCTCGCTCCAAATTGCGCAGATGCAAAGAATACATAACTAAGAATGCTCTAAGAATTTGAGGGACCCTCGACCTATTGTGGTGGAAATTTACCTGCATTTAAAAAATCAGAATTTGAGGGACCCTAGGCCTCAAGCTTTCGGACTCTTAACCAGCTCTCGGGCTGGAAAGGACCGGATAACCCCACATGCCAACTTCTTCCAATATGTAGCAATAGAAAGGTGAAGACGGGATGGGAAAGGCAGGAAAGAGAAAGGATATGGTGGGAGACAGATCGAGTGAGGGAGTTCTGTGTGAGAAGGTTGCGTGTGAGAAGGTGTATACTACGTATTTAAAAGAAAATGTGTGGGTTCTGTGACGGTGGAAGGCAGATTGTGTGAAAGAGGTGCGTGTGAGAGAGTCGCGTGCCAGAGAGTTGCTTGTGAGGAGGTTGTGCGTGCGCAAGATGTGTGTGTGTGTGAAACCCGTTATAACATACGGATATTTTACAATTTCGTACAACGAAGCAAGGAAGACAATATGTGGCGACAATAAGAACTGAATTTTAATTCAGACATGCAGGGGGCTGGAGTGTGAATCAGAAGTCTCCAGCCAACGAAGACGCTTCTGATGTCACAGTGATATCAACCTGGGACGCTGGGTTGACGTACCTGCAATGTTGGTTCGAACTTTTGCACAAGCTGTTCTATTACCTTGTTTTTGAGTCCTTTGGCAAGAATCGATTGCTCGAATTTCACCGTTTGCAACCGTGCCCCATCGAAGGTGACTTAGGAAATCAGGCGACGGCAAGTTCTACTCTCATCATCATCAAATCAACCTAAGCAGTGTGTTTGGGTGAACTCACTGACTTGTGAGCACCGTCGATCTGCTTCGTGCGGGTCTAGATCTGGTCACCGGCCGCTCCGGTGGATAGTGGAATGTCCAATTGGGACAATCCGGATTCGACGTGGTTGTTATGTCAATCACAGGATTACTCCACTTTAGGAGCGAATTATGACAATTTGTCATACTTCAACGGATTAGTCCCAACGATGGACGGATTAGTCCCTTCGAAGGACCAGGATTAATCCCTATAGGGATGGATTAACCCTTCGGGGGGTCTCACCTGTTGTCTTACCCAGGTCCGATCCTTACAGAATCACAGTTTGCAGTTCAAAAAACGTTCTGATTCTTTCACAATTCCGTTTTCAGTTGATAAAAATTTTCTCGCTGTTTGACATTTTTGTGACCTTTATATGTTTGCTTTTGAATGTCATGAACAATGTACCCAATATGTTGGCTCTGAAGCGACAGTTGCTGCAAGATGTCATTGTTTTAAACCAACATCCTTCAATGTTACAGGTGGTTGTTGTCTGCTTCAATTTTATTGTTTTTCCTTTTTTCTCTTTTGCCTTCGTTTTCATATATGGACATTATCAACATTACCATGATACCGACCGGCGTAGTTCCGAAGTCCATGGGTCCCCCACCTCGTGATCCAATTCCTACTTGGGCCACACCAGCTAGCAGACGTACCACTGAAGATGTCAGTTTTCATTATCGGGGATTCACTGGCGAGTTTGAATTCAGAGTACCTCGCGGAGAGGCATCACTCATGGCACAACGTGTTATTCAGAATGATCAGGCTATTCAGATGCACAGTCTACAGGTTCAGGAACATCAATGCCAATTGGGAATACTTCAAGCTCAAAATCAATTTCATCAGCTTGGGATTATCTCTCAATTTGCCAATTTGACGCATGCAGGAAATCAAACAGGTTGGATACCTGGCTTACATTTGACCTTTCCCAATTCTTCGGGACAAATCGCGACATCAGTTACACCTGCTCTGACTGATCGGGTAACGACCTCAGAACGGCCATCGAAACGATTTCGCAGTGACAATGTATTGGAACCTCCAAGATCGGAACGTGGTCCGGATCCCCTTGACAAGTCTGGTACGATTCCATCTCAGCTCGGCACTTTCGTACATCAGTGGGGAACTCAGAACTTCCAAAGCGATGTCGCTCCTGAACTTTCTGCAGAGACTCAAACAAAATCAGTATGTTTCAAAATTGGACGACAACCAGAAAAGTTTATCTCTTCCAGTGTACTACAGATTATGGAATTTAAGCATCCACAATTGGAACACCTTGGACACCATTTGTGGGTGTCGCATCCACTGGCACGTTTTTCGTCCAATCAATTTGATGCAATACGACATGGAACATTGAAGGAGTTGGATTGGTGTGGACTGTACAGCACTGTATTGCGTTTACACTCAGATTTATACCAAAATCCACATCGAATTGCTGGAGGATTTGAGATGGGCAGACTTATTGAAGAACCACGTCAACAAAAATGGATTCCAGACATGCATCATTTTTGTCGAGCCAACGGCGATCAAACCTTCGATGAAGCCAAACGAATGAGTGGTTTTTGGTATGAATATGTCACACATGATTTGCGCACATGCTTTCCATCAGCCTTCATGAACTCACGAGCTGCTCATGTGGAGGAAGGAATCCAAATTTTGATTGCATCCTTGATGCAATATCCAGCCAACTCTATTTTGATAGAGGAATTTCAGATATTGATGTCTTCCACACAGACACCCTTGGCCATCCTAGCATCAGTGCAACCACCATATTTTCGAAGCACTCCCAAAGTCCAATTCAATCATCGTTTCCTTTTTGGCCATAACACTCAGGCTTTAGCTCTGTGTGACATTGTTCGGGAAGGATTTATTCGTCCTTCTAGTTGTGATCCCGCTGACAAATCATGGTTGCCACCTACTTCCTTTTATTGCCGAGCAGTGGTACCT